TATGATTGATAGAGGAACTGTGGCTGTCTGTAAATTAATTTTGATCCAGCTGGATGAAGATATTAAACATGACTCGACACGATGATATTCTTATAGGGAGGCACAGGTCACAAATTCCCTTGTAAAGAAATATCCTTCTCAGGATATATCAGAATGCTGGTCTGTAGAAACTCAAGAAAAAATATAGAATGGAAATTATAAATGTGATTAACTGAACGATGTTTACACACGTATACCATTTTTATTGCATGGTTAGAGTTGCCCCTATAAGGTCCCATTGTTTGAATTAAAATCCTGGACCTGACCCACTGGGTGCAGGGGAGACGTTCGTCCCCATTTTGAGAACACGTAGTGTTAGCATTGATCTTCAGTGTTCCAGCAATACAATTTGAACCGTTATTCTGCCTGAACGCCAAAATGAATCTAGGATGGTGGTTACTCGGCACTGGCGATTCTCTGGTGTTGTCGGTATATATTATGAATGTACTTGCTTCGAGTAGCTTGCTGGTAATAAATACCTAGAGGTCCTTTTGTAGCGTGCACACCACTAGTGACGCGACTTAAATCAATAGCGCGTGGTTCCCCGATCGAACGTGGATCGTTGGTCAGGCCGAGACCATTGGGACACGAGTGAGTGAGTTTAGTTTTACGTCGCTTTTAGCAATACTCCAGAGGGGGACACCATAAATGGTATTCACATATTGTACCCATGTGGGGACTCGAACCCGGGTCTTCGGCGTGACGAGCGAACGCTTTAACGAAAAGGCTACTTCACAGGGACACGAACAGCCATCAGGAACGTCTTCATTAAAACTGAGCATACTGTATGGTAACAGCTGAGTTTGATTAATATAATATTGCAATGTCACTCTTACTAAAAGGGCCTCAATTTATGGTAGACATTACAGTCATAGTATTTACCATCTCAAAATGTTGTATTTTCTTACAAGGAAGTGATTTTCTTACAAAGGCGGTTTGATGTTGTCCGGAGTGTTTTCATCACAGGATATGTTCACTCTATAATTTATCAGGTCTTTTATCAGGTCACTCTCGAATGTATCAGTGCTAGGACCAGGTCACTCTCGACTGTGTCAGTTCTAGGACCAGGTCACTCTCCAGCGTATCATTTCTAATATCAGGTCACTTTCGAGTGTATCAGTTCTAGGATAAGGTCACTTTCGGGTGTATCAGTTCTAGGAGCAGGTCACTCTCGAGTGTATCAGTTATAGGATCAGGTCACTCGCGAGTGTATCAGTTCTAGGTTAAGGTCACTCTCGAGTATATCAGTTCTAGGATCAGGCCACTCTCGAGTATATCAGTTCTAGGAGCAGGTCACTCCCGAGTGTATCAGTTCTAGGATCAGGTCATTCTAGAGAGTATCAGGTATAGGATCAGGTCACCATGGAGTGTATCAGTTCTAGGATAAGGTCACCCTAGAGTGCATCAGGTCTAGGATAAGGTCACCCTCGAGTGTATCAGTTCTAGGATCAGGTCACTCTAGAGTGTATCAGTTCTAGGATCAGGTCACCCTCGAGAGTATCAGGTATAGGAACAGGCCACTCTCGAGAGTCACCCTAGAGTGTATCACGTCTAGGACCAGGTTACTCTAGATATTGTCAGTTCTAGGATCAGGTTACTTTAGAGTTTGGCAGTACTAGGATCAGGTCACTCTCGAGCGCATCAGTTCTAGGATCAGGTTACCCTGGAGAGTATCAGCTCTAGGTCCAGGCTACTCTAGAGCGGGTCAGTTCTAGGATCACCCCAGTTTTAAGGTGTCCCAGGTGTAACATATCCCAGATGTAAGATAACCCCAGGTGTACGATATCCCAGGTGTAAGGTATCCCAGGTGTAAAATATTCCAGATATAAGATATCCCAGATGTAACACACCCGAGGTGTAAGATATCCCAGGTGTAAGATATCCCAAGTACCTGACAGACACCGCAGTTGTTGGATACCCCAGTCAGGTGTAAGATACCCCACTTGTACGATATTACAGGTGTAAAATACCCCTGGTGTAAGATATTCCAGGTGTAAGATAACTCAGGTGTAACATATCCTAGGTGTAAGATATTCCAGGTGTAAGAAAACCCAGGTGTAAGATATCCCAGATGTAACATACCCCAGGTGTAAGATATCCCAGGTGTAGGATACTCCAGGTGTAAGATATCTCACATGTAATATATCCCAGGTGTAAGATACCCCAGATGTAAGATACCCCAGGTGTATGATATTCTAGGTGTAAGATACCCCAGATGTAAGATATTCCAGGTGTAAGATATGCCAGATGTAAGATATTCCAGGTGAGGATAATCCAGGTGTAAGATATCCCAGGTGTAGGATACCCCAGGTGTAAGGTATCCCAGGTGTAAGGTATCCCAGGTGTAAGGTATCCCAGGAGTAAGATATCCCAGGTGTAATGTATCCCAGATGTAAGATATCGCAGGTGTAAGATATCCCAGATGTAAGATATTCCAGGTGTAGGATACCCCAGGTGTAAGGTATCCCAGGTGTTAGATACCCGTCAGAAACCGTAGTTGTTAGACACCGCAGTTGTCAGATATCCCAGGTGTAAGATACCCCAGGTGTAAGGTATCCCAGGTGTAAGATATCCCAGGTGTTAGATACCCGTCAAACACCGTAGTTGTTAGACACCGCAGTCGTCAGATAGCCCAGTTGTTCGATACCCCAGTCAGGTGTAGGATACTCCAGTTGTAGGATATCATAGGTGTACGATACCCGAGTTGTTGTTAGATACCTGTCAGACACCTCAGTTGTTAGATACCCCAGTTTTTAGATGCCCGTCAGAAACCCCAGTTGTTAGATACCCCAGTTTTTAGAAGCCCGTCAGAAACCCCAGTTTTTAGATACCATGCGGCGGATACAGCTTTTTGAGAAAGTGTGTGTGTGTGTGTGTGTGTGTGTGTGTGTGTTTGCACACTATTGAGAAACGGGGGTGCACACTTCATTTTCACCCGAGTTTCAGGATCCCCGGGGATACCCCCGGGATACCCGTCAGAAACCCCTATTGTTAGATACCCCGGCTGTAAGATTTGGTATGCATGCATGACAGCAATGACGGTTGACTCAACCAGTGTACAAGTGTCTACCTGTCAAGGTTCACATACGATACAGTCGTATCAACAATCTCTGTCAGTCATGCGAACATCATGTGCAAGAATCTGAATCCGGGGTCATAAGTCTAGTCTAAAGCGTGGCTGTTTAGTGTTAACGACCTTGAAACTGTAAGATCGTGTATGTTCGACCATTGAACCTGTTCCTATTGTTTAGCTCCTGAAAGGTAAAGTCAGTCAACGCTTAGCGGAGGATGGTGGTGGTGCAGGGGAGACTGTTTGAGTGATCAAGGTCACCGTCAGCAGCTCCGGTAGTCCTCGACAAAAGTAAGCACCCCTTTTAAACCTTGAATTAAACCTTTTAAAACACAATTAACAAATGTTCGTTTGTACACTGAATTTACTTCATATGAGTGGGATTATTAAAATGTACCCTCTTTCTTTCAACACATTAAATGTCCATTATGTCGCAAACTGAGTTTACTAATCGCTCAGAAAGATCGCCGAAACAAGCCAATTGTTCAATTCTTACGTGTGTGAACCTATGGCCGACAATAGTGACGAGTGTCAGAGTATGATTTTAAGCCACATTTAGTAATATTCCAACAATGTCACGTAGGGGGACACGAGAAATGATCTACACACATTGTACCCATTATATCTAAATGATAGATATAAATAAAAGCGACTAAACACTTTCTTCATCCACAATAAATCACTGCTAAAAGCTGAGTCGATTGTACAATTCCGGCTGTATTGGGAGTGAGTGAAGTTTACGCCATTTTAGCAATATTCCAGGAATATCACGTCGGAGGACACCAGAAATGAGCTTCACACATTGTGCAGAACCCGGGTCATCCTTGCGACAAGCCCCCGCCCCTTCCCCAACCTTATATTACGTGCAAGTTTTGTTTCTTTGCTTGCATGATAAACGTCACACAGATTCACACTCAGCATTATTTGAGCTGTATTACGGACCAGACAATTCAGTGATTAGCATCATGTGATTAAATGACAGAACATGTGTTTGTGAATCACTAACAGATATTGACAATATCAGGTGTTCGAAAATGTGAACGTATACTGCCCAAACTGTGGCACTCATCATAAAAACACGCAAAAGCATGCAATTCTTCACCTGAAACAATTTGGGAACGTATGGTAAAGTCAACACATGGAATACCCGACATTCATTTTGTCACTGATGCATCACGTATTGAAATGCCCGTCACATGTCCTCCATAAAGGTTTCTAAAAGCAGTACTGAGGCTGGTCATGGCGTTCTAATCATGATCACTTCCCACGCTCCAACTTGCAGCATGCTTGACATGCCTGGACTCCATACCACCATATAGTATCCGTGTCTCCATGAAGCAGTGAGAAGGTCGCCTATTTACGTCACGGTTGACTGTTGTAGCCAATCACTTAAGCCTCGCCTGTCGCTTTATTTTTTTTGGTTGTTAAACAAACCTCAAATAAGTGCTATTGTGCAGACAACGCAGAATGATGCTCCATCGCACTTCGGACACCATCAAACACGTAACACACAAAAAATAGTGAAGATGATTCCCGTCTTTTCCAGGTCTGAAAATAGAGGTCTGTAGATGCTTGGAGAGACAGGAAGCTCGACCCCTCGCTCAGTTATCTCTCCTTGAAATGAATACAATAGGTTTGTTTGTTAAATTAACTCTCACATATTTTAGCTATATGGCGGCATAAAACTAAACTAAACATAATCAAGTCTGAACCAGACAAACCAGTGATTAACATCATAAGCATCGATCAACGCAAATAGGATGACATACCAGCTGAGCGAGTCTCACCATTCAATTCTGTTGGTCGCCTCTTACGACCAGCATGGGTTGGTGAAGACCAATTCTAACCCGGATCTTCACGGATAATATACAATAGGTAATTTAAATCAAGATGGCCTCCATCGGCACTGGGAATGCCGATATCTATATTCTTTGATAAATCATGAAACAAAGTATGTATAAAAGCTATATAAAATTGTCTTGTTTCCAGCATACACATTTGATAAATCAGTTTGGCCAATCGTTGTCATATCTGAGTTTTCATCTTGTCATAGCCTGGATGTGTCTTCTTTTTGTCAATATTGATAAATTAGCTCCTGAATATGTGTCACAAATTATGTTTCACAGAATCAATTCTCTATTTTTGTTTTCAACAATTCCCTATATTGAAATATACATGATGCTAATGTGTTTCTGTAAACATATACATTATGTTTTCCTGTCAGTGAAGATGATTCCCTTCTTCTCCAGGTCTGACAATAGAGGTCTGTAGATGCTTGGAGAGACAGGAAGCACGACCCCTCGCTCAGTTATCTCCCCTTGAAATGAATACAATAGGATTGTTTGTTGATTAACTCTGACATATTTTAGCTATATGGCGGCATAAAACTAAACTAAACATAATCAAGTCTGAACCAGACAAACCAGTGATTAACATCATAAGCATCGATCAACGCAAATAGGATGACATGCCAACGAGTCTCACCATTCAATTCTGTTGGTTGCCTCTTACGATAAGCATGGGTTGGTGAAGACCAATTCTAACCCGGACCTTCACGGGTAATATACAATAGGTAATCAAGATGGCCTCCATCGGCACTGGGAATGCCGATATCTATATTCTTTGATAAATCATGAAACAAAGTATGTATAAAAGCTATATAAAATTGTCTTGTTTCCAGCATACACATTTGATAAATCAGTTTGGCCAATTGTTGTCATATCTGAGTTATCATTTTGTCATAGCCTTGATGTGTCTTCTTTTTCTCATGTTTTGTTATAATCTTCAGGCTTTGTTTCATGGATATATTCACAAATGAAATTGACATAGAATATCAACATGAAAAACAAATGTGAAGGTTTGGGTTAGGGTGAATGGCAAACAATATACTAGGGACGGGACCAAACCCCAGTGTATTTGGGGATTCAGATATTCACTATGACCAGTTGCTTACCATTCAACAGCAGCATTGCTCCACTGGCTACTGTGTGACCAACTGTTTTGGCCATGGCGGAATGTTTTCCGACATCTCCATACACCGCCATATCCAACTTCCGGTCCTCACCGGAGCCGTCAGGGAAACTTCCGGTCACCTCGATGTGCATCACAACGAGGTCGCGTTCATCCGGGCCTGGAGCAAAATCAGGATGTATGGAGTCAAATTGTCATGTGCAATATCATAGATCTATTGAGAGCCACCGACATATAGATTTTTATGCATATAAAGTCAGCAGAATGGTATATATACATCTGACCCCGACTACTGGGTGAGGTAACGGTGTTTTTCCGTTGGGTGTTATGAGAGATGGCCGAAAGGTATCGACTATGGTGGCCTGAACTGATGGTGTTCGTTACTTCTTGCTATTTCAACACAGTCTCCGCCGAAGTCCACACACTTCTGCGGGTACAATGTCAGTTTTTCACGACTTCTAGCTTTAATATTATGACGCATTTGCCAAAGCAGAGAAGCATCATGTTTTCCATTTGTTGGGTTGGTCTTTTGAGAGGAGGTCAGTCCACCAGTATGGTTTCTGTGGAAACACCCCCCACCCACCCCCACCCTTAAAAACATAAGCTATCACCTTGACAGCTAATGGAAAATGCTTTGTCGTCTTTTCTTCACCGTCCCCAGACGCTTCCTCTCCTTTGACTGTCATTCAGGCTCCAGTCTGAACCCACGACTCGACGATGAGTCAGGAGCGTTTCTGATTTGGGGTTAGAAACCATGAAACCGTGCGTTCTGAATTCTTTGAATGTCCATTTTAATACCTCAGATTGTTCTCAGTTCTCTTTGACTCCATCTTAAATCATGCCCTATATTTTATCAACATTATCATTCTCCTTGTCAATGGTGTTAGGTGAAGGTCTTTCTGATCTTGAATCGAGGCTCCAGCCTCCTCTCTGGAACTCATCTGACCAACACTTCACAGGGGCGAAGGAAGAACCTTTGTACCATAAAGCTGATGTCATGTCCACATGAATGGCTGATGAAGTTTTTATTGAAGATACTTGCTGAAAGAGCGACATCCAATTACTTCAATTGTTATGTATTTGGATCTAATGCCGCCTGTGAGAACAAAGCATTATACTTTCCAAAATGAGGTGTACTGTACATCCTTCGTACTTAGACTCAAGACTTCTCAGCCTAACTTTGTATAACTCGAGAGGATTTCTGCATGCGTCTTTATAACGCTCCCTGGACCTAACGTTCATTGATAGTAAAATAATGTATATAGTGGGAGCACAATTCGGGGTAAATGCACAAGACCTTTCTACCTTGTTTGTTAGGGATATTCCAGCTATATGACGGTAGTCTGTAAATAATCGAGTCCAGACCAAACGATCCCATGATTGTCATCATGTGCATTTACCTCTGTAGTTAGGATACGAAGCCATGCAGTGAACAATTCAGTGAGCCTGACCTTCCGATCCCGTTAGTCGCCTCTTACGACAAGCATGGTTTGCTGAAGATCAATTCTAACCCGGATCTTCACGGTTGCTGTCTTATAATTGCCGTGAAAAGTTATATTGTGTATGGGTCGAGTGCTCCCCATATTTCGCCCTGATATGGGGACCTCAAAGTCCTTGTCATTCCCAAAATGTGCGTGCCAAACATGTCGGAACTCACCAAACATGAACTCCGATCTCTTCTCCAGATAATCAGCCAGAGTGTCAAGCGGTGTGTCTTTTGTCTCGATCTCTTCAGATTCGAGTAAACCCAATCTGTAGGATCAAATGTATAGTTCTCAAAAGTGAGTTAAGGCATAATTAGTTTCATATTTATTTAAATTCTCACACAAGATTAGCACAAGGCAACGCCGTTAGACAGGGACGACATACCGGTACCCCTCGCACTGATGGTTGGGTGAGTAAGATGGGTTTAACACCTCATTGACGTTTACCACTTCAATTTAACCTATAAACACGGCGTTGCGCTGATATCCATAGAAACATAAGGGCAAAACTGGATTCGATCTGACAGTCGTTGGTTTTTGGCGTGCCCAAGGGAAGCAACACAACACAGAAACTTGCGGCGCCATATACTACTGGGCCACCTGCCCCACCCATGTCATAATCGATCCTGACCATACGGACCAATGGTTAATAGCAAGAACACAAGGAGACATTCTTTGTTATTTGCACGATATCACAGAAAATGCTAACTCTATATTCTTTGATGGGGAGGTTCAGTGGTTACCAATGGACCAATGGTTAATAGCAAGAACACAAGGAGACACTCTTCGTTATTTGCACGATATCATAGAAAATGGTAACTCTATATTCTTTGATGGGGAGGTTCAGTGGTTAAAGTGTTACCTCGTCACCCGGGTTCGTTTTCCCCACATAGGTACACTGTGTGTGCCAATCAGTAGAAGGTAATGTTACCATAGCTACACAATGTTTTACACAAGGCGCAACGCCAAGACGTGCACTGCGGGGTAGCTCGTCACACGGGTTCGATTCCCCACATGGGTACGATGTGTGAAGCCCATTTCCGGTGCCCCCGGCTTGATATTGCTGGAATATTGCTGAAAGGGGCGTAAAACCATACTAACTCGTTCACTGGTTTCTTCCCGCTTATATTGTTAGGGCATCATTTTTTTTTTATGTGTTTCACGTCGCCACCAAATTCTGAACACGGGTCGGTCGTTCGGTCGGGAAAAAAAATAAAGACAAAATTATCTGAATAATGTTATTGATTCTCATTTACTGTAATTCTTATTACAATTCCTCGCGTTCTTTGGACTTGTGGCAGCTACTGATTAGAAGATAAACATTTTATATGACGAGGCGGTACGTTTTAGGTTCGAGTCGGCGGTTTTTGAATGAAAAAATGTTTTTTTTAAGGGGTCGGCAATAAAATTAGAAGGGTCGGTCGGGCGATGAGAAACACCGAAAATAAAAATGCTGGCCTTATACAAGTGTGAGAAATTACCTTTTTATGACCTCCAGTTGGCCTTGACCTCCAGCTTGATCTTTGACCTTTGACTCCAGATTTTCTGCCGAGATGTCTTCACTCAGCCCTAGCTCGTTGCAAATAAAGTTCCTCTTTTAAAAAAAAATGGCTGTGAATAATTTGAAAGATTCCAAGAATGATGATCACTATTACTGCAGTACAATGTTATTCAGTCATTGGCGCGTTGTCAAATGACTCCGTTCAAGTTTTTTAGACGTATCTGATGGAAAAAGAACATCGTTCGAAATTCTCAAAATTAGAACGTCGTTTAGAATGTTGTATGTCCTTGGACCCGAGTTGTCTTGAAATAAAGTGAAATATTTTATTTTTTTATTTTAAACTGAACTAAAACTAGTATCTGGTACTATCTGAAAAAGGTCAACCCCTTTAGTTGCAACGTCCTTGTAATGCCGTCGGGTTGCGCCAATTCTTTTCTGTAGACTGGTTTGCCCGCCCTTAGGCGCTGGCGCTCCTCTCTGTAATTTGGAGACGAAGGGGAGCATACCAGTCTTGCCTTGCTAGCTTAACAGCAACTGAAGTGTCGCTGCGAAGAAGCTTTAGTTTGGACGATAGGGGGCGTGAGTTTATCGGTCATTCCCATGGAGTGGCTGCTACCTACCCACGTTACTCCACGTGACCCCGCCTTTAGCAGACTCACAGGGGAGACGGAGAACAGACCCAGTTTCATCAAGCAAAGGACTCCAGCGCCGAAACCCTGTAATAGAATGAAACCATAAAACATGTCCACACGTACATACTTCGGGCACCTTGTGTTCGTTTTTGTGCTGACTCTTGCCGAATTCAACTGACATTTTGTAATAATTGATTCAAATACTCCAGATTGCTTGTGGCAAGTGTCCCTTCTTTTCATAATAACGTATGTATTTGTGCAGGAGTGGAGTTATCGATCGTTAATTTGTCAAAATTTCCCGGAATTTGGCGGAATCGATTTTGAAAATAATCATAGAAAGGATCCCTCAATCTGCAATACGTGAAGTGCTCGTTTTTCACATAAAACCATAAACCTGTGGCCAAAGGTGCAGTTATACAGTGCTATACATATACACCTTGTACCTGACCTGTCAAGGTACAGTACTATACATATACACCTTGTATCTGAGCTGTCAGGGTACAGTGCTATACATATACACCTTGTATCTGAGCTGTCAGAGTACAGTACTATACATATACACCTTGTATCTGAGCTGTCAGGGTACAGTGCTATACATATACACCTTGTATCTGAGCTGTCAGGGTACAGTACTATACACACCCACCTTGTACCTGAGCTGTCAGGGTACAGTACTATACATATACACCTTGTATCTGAGCTGTCAGGGTACAGTACTATACATATACACCTTGTATCTGAGCTGTCACGGTACAGTACTATACACATACACCTTGTACCTGAGCTGTTAGGGTACAGTACTATACACATACACCTTGTACCTACAGCTGTCAGGTCAGGTACAGTACTATACACATACACCTTGTACCTGAGCTGGGGTACAGTACTATACACATACACCTTGTACCTGAGCTGTCGGGGTACAGTACTATACACATACACCTTGTACCTGAGCTGTCAGGGTACAGTACTATACACATACACCTTGTACCTGAGCTGTCAGGGTACAGTACTATACACATACACCTTGTACCTGAGCTGTCAGGGTACAGTACTATACACATACACCTTGTACCTGAGCTGTCAGGGTACAGTACTATACACATACACCTTGTACCTGAGCTGTCAGGGTACAGTACTATACACATACACCTTGTACCTGAGCTGTCAGGGTACAGTACTATACACATACACCTTGTACCTGAGCTGTCAGGGTACAGTACTATACACATACACCTTGTACCTGAGCTGTCAGGGTACAGTACTATACACATACACCTTGTACCTGAGCTGTCAGGGTACAGTACTATACACATACACCTTGTACCTGAGCTGTCAGGGTACACAGTACTATACACATACACCTTGTACCTGAGCTGTCAGGGTACAGTACTATACACATACACCTTGTACCTGAGCTGTCAGGGTACAGTACTATACACATACACCTTGTACCTGAGCTGTCAGGGTACAGTACTATACACATACACCTTGTACCTGAGCTGTCAGGGTACAGTACTATACACATACACCTTGTACCTGAGCTGTCAGGGTACAGTACTATACACATACACCTTGTACCTGAGCTGTCAGGGTACAGTACTATACACATACACCTTGTACCTGAGCTGTCAGGGGTACAGTACTATACACATACACCTTGTACCTGAGCTGTCAGGGTACAGTACTATACACATACACACCTTGTACCTGAGCTGTCAGGGTACAGTACTATACACATACACCTTGTACCTGAGCTGTTAGGGTACAGTACTATACACATACACCTTGTACCTGAGCTGTCAGGGTACAGTACTATACACATACACCTTGTACCTGAGCTGTCAGGGTACAGTACTATACACATACACCTTGTACCTGAGCTGTCAGGGTACAGTACTATACACATACACCTTGTACCTGAGCTGTCAGAGTACAGTACTATACACATCCACCTTGTATCTGAGCTGTTAGGGTACAGTACTATACACATCCACCTTGTACCTGAGCTGTTAGGGTACAGTACTATACACATACACCTTGTACCTGAGCTGTCAGGGTACAGTACTGTGCACATTAAACGTGTATCTCAGTGTGTCTTGGTACAGTACTAAACATATCCAGCTTGTGTCTGAGCGTATCTGGGAACAGTACTACACATAATTAACTGCATCTCAGTGTGTCTTGGTAAAGTACTAAACATATTCAGCTTGTGTCTCAATGTGTCTAGGTACAGCACTACACATAATTAACTTGTATCTCAGCGTGTCTAGGTACAGTGCTAAACATATTCAGCTTGTGTCTCAGCATGTCTAGGTACAGTACTACACATAATTAACTTGTATCTCAGCGTGTCGGAGTACAGTACCACACATTGGATGTACAGTACTACACACAATTGTCAGGTTACACTACTACAATACAACCAGAAATTATTGAGACTTTAATGATTGTAAATTTTTATATTTTTTTCACTCATTACTCACGTATTAAATGTGAATATTAGCAGAACATAACTCCAGATTCAAAGACAGGTGAACAGTTAGTATTTTGTCAAGTCACCATGGGCAGCAATGCAGGCTTCAATGCGGCGGGGCATACTACTGATCAAAGAAGTTAGAAAGTCGTGGTCCATGCTGTCCCAATATCGGACCACCTCTTCTTTCATTTCAGCAATATTTGTCAGATTTTTCTTATTGACACTTTCCTTCATAAGTCCCCAAACAATTTCTATTGGATTTAGGTCAGGGCTATAGCTTGGCCAATCTAATAATGTCATATTTTGGGTCCGAAACCAGTCCTGTGAATGCTTTGAACGATGTTTTGAGTCGTTGTCCTGCTGGAAAATCCAAACATTTCCATAGAACACGTGAGCAGATGGAAATAAATGTCCCTCGAGAATATCTATGTACCGCTCACTGTTCATATTCCCTTCAAATACACAGAAGGGCGTTGCCCCTAACATAGATATGCCACCCCACACGTTAAATTTCGGACTGTACTTTGGGCGCTGATACAAAGGTTTTTCAATTTGTTTGGTCCAGAATTTCAGTGGATTAGGAAACAGCCACACAGAACTTTCATCTGAGAAAATCACATTGTCCCAGTTAAAATGTCTATGCTGTAAGCACCAGTTCAACCGTTGCTCCTTTTGTTCAGGTTTCATGATCGGTGATTGAATTCCTCAACTTTTCATGCCAACCCATTGCATGCAGCTCAGTTCTAATTGTCTCCTTACAGACAGCCACAGTTCCTCTATCAATCATATCCAGCCTTAAGTTTTTTAAACTCCTTCGTTTGTTTTTAGAAACAAGAATACCAAGCCGCCTCCTGTCACCGACAGTCAATATTCTAGGCCTGGGTGCTCAATGCGATATCCATTTGCAATATTTTTCAAAACACGATAAACAGTGGACAAAGGGATGCCTGTTCTACTTGAAATCACTTTAGCTGATCTGATGTCCTTGTTATAATACTCTAAAATCAACTTCCTCTTCTCTAAATCATCCATACTGAGGACCACTGAAAATGTCGTCTGCCAGCAAGTAAACAAAGGGGATAACTCTTCACAAACTAATGAAAAAGGATTAACGGGCTTGTCTCCCTTGAATGAAACCAAGCACTTGATAGCTGGTCAAGGTTGTTTATACTAGAAATCCAATTAAACATATTCCTAAAATTCTCAATAATTTCTGGTCATACTATATACACACATTTACCTTGTATCTCAGTGTGCCCCTAAGGAAGTTGTCGACAGTCTGTATTCCGTACAACGTCAGGTAAGCGGGCTTGAATACATTGGGGAATCCCTCCATCTTTAACTCCGGAATGAAGTCCAGATCTTGCGCAGACTCTACAAGGAAGGGGCCTTCGGGGATATGTTCAACCTGGAGAAAATGAATGACACTGAAGTCAGCAATGTTCTGGTTATATCAAGGGATGTTGTCGGAGTTTGAGCGAGGGAAACAAACAGTCGATAGTACGAGTAGAAAAACCTGGATCAACGATTATATGTTTGTGTGTTGTTTTACGCTGCACTCAGCAATATTCCAGCTATATGGTAGCAGTCTGTAAATAATCAAGTATGGACCACACAATCCAGTGATCAACAGCATGAGCATCGATCTACGCAACTGGGAACCGATGACATGTGTCAACCAAGTCAGCGAGCTTGACCACCCGATCCCGTTAGTTGCCTCTTACGACAAGTATATGCATGGATTGTTGAAAACCAATTCTAACCTGGATCTTCCGGGTTGGAAAACATGTGTAATACCTACCAAAATGTGTACACATTTAGAGCATGTGTTAAGATACATCTTGAATGTGAATAACTGGCATGCATGTCATGCATTTTATTGTTATGGATGTCTTTGAGGGGTTAGATACGCCCTTTCTGGTATTGTCATATTTATATAGGCATTCTTAAACCCCATTTGAAGGTGATTTTCCCAGTGAATAACTGACTTGCCTTGTCATGTGTTTGTGACGGGGTCACCGTTAGGAACTCACCTACAACGGACTTAGTGATTTCGAAAGTATATGTAAGTACTGTTTGTTGCTTCAGTGCCAGTGTTTCCTTTTGAAATCTTTGCATTTACCAAATCTACTAATATGTAGGATCTGGTCTGTGATTCAAATTCCATCTTCGCCCCTTTCATGAACCCATGTTCTTCAGCACCTTTTAACAGTATGCTTATAGGTACAGGTTTTAGCCTCACCCCGTTGTGCACTGACACGCTCTGGCATAATGTAGAAGATGTTCAGTATAATAATAATAATAAGAGTACTTTATAGCGCCTCATCCACATCACCCAGAGACATGCTCTAAGCGCATAACATATATACAGGTTATATGTACAGGAAAGTTGACGTCATAGATATTTCTTGAAGAGGTGAGTTTTGTGCTTGGACTTAAAGACTAGGAGTGATGGAGATGTTTTAAGATCCGATGGTAGAGAGTTCCAGAGAGTGGCAGCAGCATGAGAAAATGAATTTGCACCAAAGGTTTTGAGTTTGCACACAGGAACAACTAGCAAGAGTTGATCGCTGGAGCGGAGAGATCTTTCAGGTTTGTACAGTGTTATCAAATCATGGAGGTATGCTGGACCAATGCTATAAACAGACTGATAAACAAGGGAGAGAAGTTTAAATTCAATCCTCTCGCGGATCCGGAGCCAGTGAAGAGAATTGAGAGCTGGCGTAATATGGCGTTGAACCTAACTCACTGACTCACTGATAGCCCAGAATGAGAACAGTACATGTTTAAGACAATCAGCAGGAACTACATCTTCGTTAATTGGCCCCATATTTGTCTTTGGGTGGCTTAAACACCATTATTGTGGCCATTTCGTCATTGTGAACCTGGACCATCGGGAATATTGTTGTCGGGTTTGTGTAGGTTGAGTGTGGTTCTACGCCGCATTTTGACAAATATCCACCTAATCCCCAACACATCAACTGCAACAGCTCCCTCTTAAATATCCCAGCCCTTCACCAAATTACCCAACTCCTTACCAAATAACCTCGTCTCCTTGCCAAATACCCACACCCCTTATCAAATAACATCGTCTCCTTGCAAAATACCCTTACCCCTTACCAAATAACCTCGTCTCCTTGTCAAATACCCACACCCCTCATACAATACCGTCACCCCTCACCAAATAACCTCGTCTCCTAAATAACACCCTTTCTTCACCAAACAACACCACCCACTCACCATACATCCTCATCGCTTCACCAAGTGTCTGTGTCTCCTGATGAAATATCCTCGCCTCTCACCACATATACCCACCCCACCCCGTGCAACCCCCTCACCTGTCCGTCTTTAATTTACCATCCTCCCCCTGCAACCCTCTAACCTGTCCGTCTTTAATGTACCCTCCTCCCCGCGCAACCCTCACACCTGTCCGTCTTTAATCTACCCTCCTCCCCCTGCAACCCTCTTACCTGTCCGTCTTTAATCCCCCTCTTCCCCTGCAACCCTCTTACCTGTCCGTCTTTAATCTACCCTCCTCCCCTGCAACCCTCTTACCTGTCCGTCTTTAATCTACCCTCCTCCCCGCGCAACCCTCACACCTGTCCGTCTTTAATCTACCCTCCTCCCCGCGTGAAACCCTCACACCTGTCCGTCTTTAATCTACCCTCCTCCCCCTGCAACCCTCTTACCTGTCCGTCTTTAATCTACCCTCCCCCCTGCAACCCTCTTACCTGTCCGTCTTTAATCTACCCTCCTCCCCTGCAACCCTCTTACCTGTCCGTCTTTAATCTACCCCCTCCTCCCCTGCAACCCTCTTACCTGTCCGTCTTTAATCTACCCTCCTCCCCTGCAACCCTCTTACCTGTCCGTCTTTAATGTATCCTCCTCCCCTGCAACCCTCTCACCTGTCCGTCTTTAATCTACCCTCCTCCCCTGCAACCCTCTTACCTGTCCGTCTTTAATCTACCCCTCCTCCCCTGCAACCCTCTTACCTGTCCGTCTTTAATGTATCCTCCTCCCCCTGCAACCCTCTCACCTGACAGTCTTTAATGTATCCTCCTCCCCCTGCAACCCACTCACCTGTCAGTCTTTAATGTATCCCCCTTCCCCTGCAATCCACTCACCTGTCCGTCTTTAAAGTCTCCCCCTCTCCCTGCAATCCACTCACCTGTCCGTCTTTAATGTATCCCCCTCCCCCTGCAATCCACTCACCTGTCCGTCTTTAATGTATCCTCCTCCCCGGCGGCATGCGTACAAAGACCCCCGTGGATACCAGCTGAAACTCGGGAAACAACGATTACTCTTTAACCATAAATCTAAAATACGACGTGGTTTATTAATGGGGAAGAAGCAAACCAACTTGGCTCATACAGGTCGGCGTGCACCAGTTGCTTGCGATGTCAGTCACTGGATTGTCTGGTCGAGACTCGATTATTTTTTAGAGGAGAGTCATAAAACAATAATAATCTTGTGTTTTGTGTTAAGCAATAAGCAAACATTTTATAAAGCTATCAGTATCATTTTTTTGGATTTTTTATATCCCGCCTTCCCTCGGTTTTCATTTCAACGTAAGAAAAAAAACAATGATCTCATTCTTCCCCGCCGCTGTAGAAAATGTATAATTATTCTGATATGTTAAAACATGCTCACCATTCAATCCTAAAGATCAGCTTGATCTTTCTTCATCTACATCTAAATAATAAATGATTGTTTACGAAGCCAAGCGACTCGACCTACACCATGAATTAATTCAAAGACTATTACAAGTGATCTAAATATTGAATAAATAAATAAGTTATGCTATTAGTGACGAGCATGGTTTTTTTAATATTTTAAAAATATTTAGGTTTGCCTGTTTGAGAGAGAAGATATACATGAGATACATAAACTACGGATAGTGAGTGAGTTGTGTTTTACGCCACTTTTAGCAATATTACAGCAATATCACGGCGGGGGACACCAGAAATGGGTTTTACACAATGTGCCCATGTGAAAATACGGATAGCCTAATCCCTAAGACTACATAGGTGAGATCTATGTCGCATAAGTTGGAATATAGAAGAAATGAAATGTAGTCGTGTTATGCTGGTGGCGCATATATGAACGATGCCTTGGTTGCACGTGTGACAGGCACATGTAACGTTAATAAGACCACATAAAAAATATTCGTGGCGGGCGGATTATAATTTTACATTTTATTTTATGTAAAAAAAAACTGATTTTTGTGGAAATGTACACTTTTTCTTAGATAGAAAATTAAAAAAGGTCATGCACATTTTGAGAGTCAAAGTTGCATTTTCTCTAGTGTAAAAGAAAAATCTCAGGTCGGGTCGAATGTTTGGTTCGGGCGGTAATGAGAAACAAGAATATTTCTATATATGGCCAAATGATAATTTGCATATTCCTATATGCAAGGGGTCGGTGTTCTCGGTAAGGAGTGACATGTCGATGCCGGTGGCTTGCGGTGTATAGACGTTGACTTTGGTTGGTTTGTTGATTTAACGCCGCACTCAGCAATATTCCAGCTATATGGCGGCGGTCTGTAAATAATCGGGTCTGGACCAGACAATCCAGTGGTCAATAGCATAAACATCGATCTGCGCAATTGGGAACCGATGACATGTGGCAACCAAGTCAGCATTTCTTACCACCCGATCCCGTTAGTCGCCCTTACGACAAGCATGGAATACTGAAGATTAATATTCTAACCCGGATCTTCACGGGTGCATTATTAAGTGATGGAGACAAATATTTGTCACGTATTCTCAGCATTTAGGTCTTGGAATGAAATGTTCAGTTGGACAATGGTTGTCGTGAATCAGTCGCATGATAACCTTGACAAGTGAACGCGTGTCTGAGAGAGTATCAGCCAGTGACAGAGCGAGATGGGTGGGTGCATGCGTACATGCGTGAGACAGCAGATTAGAGATGAAGTGAGCGATGGCAGGTGGTCTCGGGGGCAGAACCTAAGACTACAGCCCAATATGTTACAAATCTAAAACGCGTGCGTGAGTGCGCGAGTAAGTGAGTGAGGTTTAAGGTAGTTTTGAGCAGCTGTATCTCGGCATGTCGAAGTGATGAGGATCTAAGACATTTCCCACTTCGGATCGAAAAGAACGCAAACCTTTGCCACACCCGCGACAACCCCATTGAAAGATGAATGTTTGGGTTTTACTGTGAGCCATTTAGACGTTTGGTGGATGTAATCAGAACTTTAACCCTTCTATATTTGGGTCCACCTGGGCTGTCGCGATAAGTGAAATGTCCACCTTCCTGTGTGCACTTTCACCGATAGTCTTAGGCTACCAGCTGCTGTACCAATGCTTGTAAGGTCCTGCTTCTTGTATGCGCATCCGCTCGACAGTCTGAGGGTTATCGCGGGGTTGCGGTGGCCTAGTGGTTAAAACGGTCGCTCATCAAACCGAAGACACGTTTTCGATTCCCCACATGGGTACAATGTGTGAAGCCCATTTCTGGTGTCCCCCGCCGTGATATTGCTGGAATATTGCTACAAGCGGCATAAAACCTTACTCACTCACTCACTGAGTCTCATCTCATCTCACCTGAACTTGTACTTGAGGGGATTGTCCGCACACTCCGGAGCAGGGAGCCCGCCACACCATAGCTGATACGACGTCACCTGTAACACAACATTGCCGACAGTGTCACTTTTCAGTTATGATGTTTCCCTAAAGGAATCTGAAGACAGCATACATACAATGTAAGGAAGGATGTTGTAAAAGCAGGCACTATTCCCCCAATACTGTGTATTCCACGAGCTTGTCACAATTCGGTGTTTACGCTTGACGATACAAGGTACGCCTACAATGTATTCATGAGGCAATCATCTCCACTAACCTATATCATAGTCTACTTTCTCTTGACTTTCATATTGTCTAAGGGGCGGTGTGGTAGCCCAGTGGTTAAAGCGTTCGCTCGTCACGCCGAAGACCCGGGTTCGATTCCCCACATGGGTACAATGTGTGAAGCCCATTTCCGGTGTCCCCCGCCGTGATTTTGCTTGAATATTGCTACAAGCGGCATAAAACCCAACTCACTCACTCATATTGTCTAGTGGACGACTTTGTTTAATTTGTTTACATTCCGTCGTTACACGACATGAGTTCTGCTGCACAGCGTCAGGCTGCCAAATCTGATTTCTTTGAGCCAAATAGTGTGAAAGGGCAGGACAAGATAACACCTTTCCCGAACACCTGGTGTCATCACTGATTTTCAGTGGTCGATTCATATCATTTTCACATTTATTTTACACCAAATGGAATTCTTTTCTCAGGACAGTCAAGCCTGGATATTCCTTCGCAGTAATGTTTTATACTCAAGGTTGTTTAAATCATTAAACGCAAATATTAGCGAGGTTTCGGAATGGAATTTGTTGTTAATCACTTGTTCAAGAAGTACCTCACGGGCAGTCACACAAAATACGTCAACTGACTGCGTAATCTGATAGTGTACAAAGGAGCCTTAATTGACAAGCCGTTGAGTCAAACGTGAATGTTAAATTGAAACATCTATTGTTGGAGCACGGAGGCGTACACGCCAAACTGGCGCAAGGCATCATCACTGCGTGTACCTACCGCTTGGTTACAGCCCACGTTTCCGGCAAAAGTGGATTTATTTCTTCCAGTAAGCAGCAAGCACATCTTATAATCTGAAGTTTCTCATCCAAATACGAACATTTGTAAGAAGTGAAACATTACCAAACATGACAAAGTTGTTTCGAAAAGTTCAAACGCAAATAGTCGTGTAAATAACGGTGTGCTCCATCACTAGACAACCCTGATGAAAAGAACACAGAAAACGAGTCCTTGACAATGAAAGCAATTAAGAGTGGGGATTGTAATTTGCATAACCACTGCTTTATACAATCACCATTCATCATAACAGATACTGCTTGTCTTACAGTTCAAAGGTTTATTGGCTGAACATGATTGATAAAACTGAGCGATATCACGTCAACGATCTCTCATATCAGGAACCCGACGACCAACCTATTGACCGATTATTTCATTTTCCTACATTTATAGACCAGATAAAGCCCAAAGAACGGAATAGATCATTCCGCGAATAATAAGTACATTTATCATATAATAGCACGGTTTCTGGACAGGATAAAGACAACGTATAATAACGGCGGTGTTCGTTAGAGAGTTCAAAGATCAATATGCAAATCTAACGATAGCCTTGCTCCAAGGCTGTACTGAATGCTAAATGTATAATTATGCATAGTAATTCTATCCTTAAAGATCCAAGTCTAGATAAGTGGACAGTCTAAGGACTGTTAGTGCCCTTTCTTTCGCTCATTTCTTTATAAGTTTTCACTACCCGTGAAGGTCCGGGTTAGAATATTGATCTTCAGTAACCCATGCTTGTCGTAAGAGGTGATTAACGGGATCGGGTGGTCAGGCTCGCTGACTTGGTTGACACGTCATCGGTTCCCAATTGCGCAGATCGATGCTCATGCTGTTGATCACTGGATTGTCTGTTCCAGACTCGATTATTTACAGCCCGCCACCATATAGCTGGAATATTGCTGAGCGCGGCGTCAAACTCAACACACTCACTGTAATTTTTCGCAGCAACATTACAGCTATAATTATGGCTTGAAAACTTGTTACTAATTGGGTCTGGACCAGACAATCCAGTGACTGACATTACGAACAATAGTACAATCATTCTTCTAGATTTAAAACCCCTGTGGAAAGTTAGTTACTTGTTTCATATGTGTTAACGCCTTTACCATATGCCCCAGTATTTCTGTAAACACAATATTTGAAATATAACGTTGATTTTTGTTGAATGGCAGTTTCTTTAGACATTACACACTGTTCACTACAAACGTAGGTGAAATACAGTGCCGAGGCACTATTTCGTAAATAATTGTAGTTTCAAGCAACCGTACATTTACAGGACATTTAGTTTTGAACGGTCGAATAAACTCGTACCTTCCGGGAAAGAACGTATTGGTCTGTCTAGACATCGATTATCAATCAGAGCTTGGTGAAGCGTGATGTGTATTATACAACTGACCTCACGAGTAAATTGGGGCAGGTCGATTGGATTATGTCGGAAATAAATAATATTGTTATACTGGATCAGTTTGCTTGGTGTAAGTGTGTTATGTTAAACGCTTCTGTGGACCTTGCAGCATATTGGAAGCACCACTGTCTGCTGGCCTCCTGTGGGGGACTTGATGGACCGGTCGGACAACTTAATGGATTAGGTGGTCAGGCTTAGTGACTAGGTTGATTGGATGTCATCGTGTCCAAACTGAGTATCACGAAGGGCATGATGCCAACGTCACTATTTTCTTGTATATCTTATGCCGAGGAGGACCTTTCTACTGCCATTCATACACAGCCATTTCATTCTTGCTGATATAATACTTTTTCTGTTAGTTGTTTAACGCCGCACTCAGCTATATTCCAACTATATGGCGGCGTAATCAAGTCTGGACTAGACAATCCAGTGATCAACAGGATCAGCATCCATCTACGTAATTGGGATACGATGACCGTGTCAACTATTAGGACAAGCGTGGGTTGCTGAAAACCAAATATACGCTGATCTTCACGGGTTTGCTGTAATGCAATATAGAACGCCAGTACAAAGGAATATCCAGTCTTATATCCAATAATCAGAAACAAATTCCGTTTGTTGTCAAGGTGACAAACAAAAATCAAATCACATTCCGCTAAACATATTTAGAAGTATTTGAAGTTTCAGCTGCACTGTTTCAGTGGTTGTTGATGAGAAGAGACGTAGAAAATCTGGCCGCAGACAACGCCGGGTACGCTGACCTTGACATTTGTTCCACTGACGCTCAGACTGTGAGCTGAGTCTAAACTACTGTTGAAAATGCCTCACCCTCCCCCCTCTTTGCTGGATGTCATCGAACGTCCGCATGGCCAGCATATGGTCAATCCCAGGGTCTAGACCTACTTCACACAGGAAGGTGAGGCCCGCTTCCGACGCTCTAGAAATTAAAACTACCTTTATCTTTAATTTGACATCAGAAGCAAGGTAATATAGAAAACATAATAAACAGACAGTGTAGAAATTTACATGCTTTGAATATGTCTTACTCAACATTCATGGCTTGACTTTCATACAGCAGCAAGAAACATTTTATAGTTATTTGGAAACAGAAATACGTCGTAGTATATCTTGTTTGTTTGTTTGTTGTTTAACGCAGTACTCAGCAATATTCCAGCTATATTGCGGCGGTCTGTAAATAATCCAGTCTGTAAACAGTCCAGTAATCAACAGCATGTTCGATCTATCCAATTGGGATACGATGACATGTGTCAATCAAGTCAGCGAGTCTGACCACCCGACCCCGTTTGTTGCCCCTTACGACAAGCATGGGTTGACCAATCTACTACATGATTTATACATGGTAAGGTTAAACGTAATTAATGTGTTACTGTTGGTGGAGCTTCTTCACTTCATCATCCACGTAGCTGGCCGTAACCAGATGTTTCCGGAGTGACAGACAAGCTCGGGCGATGTCAGGTAGCAGGGAGTACGGCACCAGACTGAAACCCGAGAGACTGAAACATTGCTTACAGAAACAAGGCAGGTCGAAACCCGAGAAACTGGAACATGACTTACTGAAAGACGAGAGACTGGAACATGACTTACTGAAACCCGAGAGACTGGAACATGACTTACTGAAACCCGAGAGACTGGAACACGACTTACTGAAACACGAGAGACTGGAACATGACTTACTGAAACACGAGAGACTGGAACATGACTTACTGAAACACGAGAGACTGGAACATGACTTACTGAAACACGAGAGACTGGAACATGACTTACTGAAACAAGGCAGGTTGAAACACGCGTGTCTGGAACATGACTTACTGAAACAAGGCAGGTTGAAACCCGAGAGACTGAAACATGATTTACTGAAACCCGACAGACTGGAACATGACTTACTGAAACACGAGAGACTGGAACATGACTTACTGAAACACGAGAGACTGGAACATGACTTACTGAAACACGAGAGACTGGAACATGACTTACTGAAACACGAGAGACTGGAACATGACTTACTGAAACACGAGAGACTGGAACATGATACTTACTGAAACACGAGAGAAACACGAGAGACTGGAACATGACTTACTGAAACACGAGAGACTGGAACATGACTTACTGAAACACGAGAGACTGGAACATGACTAACTGAAACACGAGAGACTGGAACACGACTTACTGAAACAAGGCAGGTTAAAACCCGAGAGACTGAAACATGATTTACTGAAACACGAGAGACTGGAACATGACTTACTGAAACACGCGTGTCTGGAACATGACTTACTGAAACACGAGAGACTGGAACATGACTTACTGAAACACGAGAGACTGGAACATGACTTACTGAAACACGAGAGACTGGAACATGACTTACTGAAACACGAGAGACTGGAACATGACTTACTGAAACACGAGAGACTGGAACACGACTTACTGAAACACGAGAGACTGGAACATGACTTACTGAAACACGAGACTGGAACATGACTTACTGAAACACGAGAGACTGGAACATGACTTACTGAAACACGAGAGACTGGAACATGACTTACTGAAACACGAGAGACTGGAACATGACTTACTGAAACACGAGAGACTGGAACACGACTTACTGAAACACGAGAGACTGGAACATGACTTACTGAAGCACGAGAGACTGGAACATGACTTACTGAAACACGAGAGACTGGAACATGACTTACTGAAACACGAGAGACTGGAACATGACTTACTGAAACACGAGAGACTGGAACATGACTTACTGAAACACGAGAGACTGGAACATGACTTACTGAAACACGAGAGACTGGAACATGACTTACTGAAACACGAGAGACTGAAACACGAGAGACTGGAGCATGACTTACTGAAACACGAGAGACTGGAACATGATACTTACTGAAACACGAGAGACTGGAACACGACTTACTGAAACACGAGAGACTGAAACACGAGAGACTGGAACATGACTTACTGAAACAAGAGAGACTGGAACATGTCTTACTGAAACACGAGAGACTGGAACATGATACTTACTGAAACACGAGAGACTGGAACATGACTTACTGAAACACGAGAGACTGGAACATGACTTACTGAAAACACGCGTGTGAAACACGGCGGTCAGGAACATGACTTACTGAAACACGAGAGACTGGAACATGATACTTACTGAAACACGAGAGACTGGAACATGACTTACTGAAACACGAGAGACTGGAACATGACTTACTGAAACACGAGAGACTGGAACATGACTTACTGAAACACGAGAGACTGAAACACGAGAGACTGGAGCATGACTTACTGAAACACGAGAGACTGGAACATGATACTTACTGAAACACGAGAGACTGAAACACGAGAGACTGGAACATGACTTACTGCAACAAGGCAGGTTGAAACCCGAGAGACTGGAAACTACTGAATTACTTCTATAGCCGTTTCAAAGATAACGTTTCTGTCAAGAACCAGCATCCCTCGACCAGGCTGTGCGTACATTCTCGACATGGAAACAAGATCTGAGCACTAAACGTCAGTGCAAGAGAATGACCAGTCCTACGCCTCATCATGGAATGGGTCCATGACATAAACCTTATTTGGACATACAACACAGTATTTGTAAGTGCGAGGTTCGCATGGAATCACTGAATCTTGGCACCGGAACATATCACACCAATAACACTCGTTCCTTTCCCGGTATATTTCAACGAGTAATTTTATAAATTAAATCAAATCTGATTAGGATATTAACAAATACCGAGAACTCGAAAATCTGTTATTTCTGTACTTACTGACCCAATATACCCCTGGCTAGAATAAGGTTAATCTGATACTGCCTTCGATAACACAGACACTGATGAATACCACCGACTGACCGTATTTGAAATTCCTCACCTGGGTCGATAATCATGGCGTAAATCCCATTTTGTGAGGAAGTGTTAAATTTCAATCAACTGACAACTGAAGTTCCTGAAAGATATATCTATAATCTATCTGCGTCTCAAGAGCCCTCTGAGTCAACTAGATGCTCCGCTGATACGGGTGATCACACGGAGCGAGACTTGAGGACCTTCTTACCGGTTGTTTGATGGGCTATTACAGTCTCTTGGTGAAACTGGAGAACTACCCACAGTGTCGTGGGTGTGACGGGAGGTCATGTCCCCGACGATGTTTGTTCATACTAATTCCACTATCACAGTGGCAAAGGCAGTTTGAACTTAACACATCGCCGCCATGTCACAGACCACAGTTACCCCTCTTAAGTTTGACCCGGAAGGAAAATCGGAGAATATGTTGCCTCGTTTAATGGGCTGTTCTGTCGGTGCTAATTATTTCAGGGTGACTTGTATAGCTTAAATGAAAGGTCAGACATTGTACTTTATTGCAATTTGTTTTGGTCCACAATCTGCACATGGTATTGACGCCAGCCTTCCATGAGTTGACCCCAAGTTCAAGGCTGTTTAGTGTGTTTCGGCTCGAAACTTCCGGTGACCATAGTTGACAGTAGATACAGTAAAATTGAGATGGTCGATCCAGGCCGATATTTTGCCGATTAAGTATCAAGTGGCAGGGTGGTCAGCATGCAACAGGAGAACAGCCTACGACCGATATTAATTATGGTGCACTAGCATGTCACTATAGATAGCAGAGAAGGAAAATAATTGTGGGCTGAGGCCAGTTACAGTCCCAGTCTGGCCCCGATTTCTCGAAACAAACTTAAGTTTTTACTCTGGAACATGACTTACTGAAACACGAGAGACTGGAACATGACTTACTGAAACACGAGAGACTGGAACATGACTTACTGAAACACGAGAGACTGGAACATGACTTACTGAAACACGAGAGACTGGAACATGACTTACTGAAACACGAGAGACTGGAACACGACTTACTGAAACACTTACTGAAACACGAGAGACTGGAACATGACTTACTGAAACACGAGAGACTGGAACATGACTTACTGAAACACGAGAGACTGGAACATGACTTACTGAAACACGAGAGACTGGAACATGACTTACTGAAACACGAGAGACTGGAACATGACTTACTGAAACACGAGAGACTGGAACATGACTTACTGAAACACGAGAGACTGGAACATGACTTACTGAAACACGAGAGACTGGAACATGACTTACTGAAACACGAGAGACTGGAACATGACTTACTGAAACACGAGAGACTGGAACATGACTTACTGAAACACGAGAGACTGGAACATGACTTACTGAAACACGAGAGACTGAAACACGAGAGACTGGAGCATGACTTACTGAAACACGAGAGACTGGAACATGATACTTACTGAAACACGAGAGACTGGAACACGACTTACTGAAACACGAGAGACTGAAACACGAGAGACTGGAACATGACTTACTGAAACAAGAGAGACTGGAACATGTCTTACTGAAACACGAGAGACTGGAACATGATACTTACTGAAACACGAGAGACTGGAACATGACTTACTGAAACACGAGAGACTGGAACATGACTTACTGAAACACGAGAGACTGGAACATGACTTACTGAAACATGAGAGACTGGAACATGACTTACTGCAACAAGGCAGACTGAAACACGAGAGACTGGAACATGACTTACTGAAACAAGGCAGGTTGAAACCCGAGAGACTGAAACATGACTTACTGAAACACGAGAGACTGGAACATGACTTACTGAAACACGAGAGACTGGAACATGACTTACTGAAACACGAGAGACTGGAACATGACTTACTGAAACACGCGTTTCTGGAACATGACTTACTGAAACACGAGAGACTGAAACATGACTTACTGAAACACGAGAGACTGGAACATGACTTACTGAAACACGAGAGACTGGAACATGACTTACTGAAACACGAGAGACTGGAACATGACTTACTGAAACACGAGAGACTGGAACATGACTTACTGAAACCGACGAGACTGGAACATGACTTACTGAAACACGAGACTGGAACATGATACTTACTGAAACACGAGAGACTGGAACATGACTTACTGAAACACGAGAGACTGGAACATGACTTACTGAAACACGAGAGACTGGAACACGAGAGACTGGAACATGACTTACTGAAACATGAGAGACTGGAACATGAATTACTGCAACAAGGCAGACTGAAACACGAGAGACTGGAACATGACTTACTGAAACAAGGCAGGTTGAAACCCGCGAGACTGAAACATGACTTACTGAAACACGAGAGACTGGAACATGACTTATTGAAACACGAGAGACTGGAACATGACTTACTGAAACACGAGAGACTGGAACATGACTTACTGAAACACGCGTTTCTGGAACATGACTTACTGAAACAAGAGAGACTGGAACATGACTTACTGAAACACGAGAGACTGGAACATGACTTACTGAAACACGAGACTGGAACTGGAACATGACTTACTGAAACACGAGAGACTGGAACATGACTTACTGAAACAAGAGAGACTGGAACACGACTTACTGAAACACGAGAGACTGGAACATGACTTACTGAAACACGCGTGTCAGGAACATGACTTACTGAAACACGAGAGACTGGAACATGATACTTACTGAAACACGAGAGACTGGAACATGACTTACTGAAACACGAGAGACTGGAACATGACTTACTGAAACACGAGAGACTGGAACATGACTTACTGAAACACGAGAGACTGAAACACGAGAGACTGGAACATGACTTACTGCAACAAGGCAGGTTGAAACCCGAGAGACTGGAAACTACTGAATTACTTCTATAGCCGTTTCAAAGATAACGTTTCTGTCAAGAACCAGCATCCCTCGACCAGGCTGTGCGTACATTCTCGACATGGAAACAAGATCTGAGCACTAAACGTCAGTGCAAGAGAATGACCAGTCCTACGCCTCATCATGGAATGGGTCCATGACATAAACCTTATTTGGACATACAACACAGTATTTGTAAGTGCGAGGTTCGCATGGAATCACTGAATCTTGGCACCGGAACATATCACACCAATAACACTCGTTCCTTTCCCGGTATATTTCAACGAGTAATTTTATAAATTAAATCAAATCTGATTAGGATATTAACAAATACCGAGAACTCGAAAATCTGTTATTTCTGTACTTACTGACCCAATATACCCCTGGCTAGAATAAGGTTAATCTGATACTGCCTTCGATAACACAGACACTGATGAATACCACCGACTGACCGTATTTGAAATTCCTCACCTGGGTCGATAATCATGGCGCAAATCCCATTTTGTGAGGAAGTGTTAAATTTCAATCAACTGACAACTGAAGTTCCTGAAAGATATATCTATAATCTATCTGCGTCTCAAGAGCCCTCTGAGTCAACTAGATGCTCCGCTGATACGGGTGATCACACGGAGCGAGACTGGAGGACCTTCTTACCGGTTGTTTGATGGGCTATGACAGTCTCTTGGTGAAACTGGAGAACTACCCACAGTGTCGTGGGTGTGACGGGAGGTCATGTCCCCGACGATGTTTGTTCATACTAATTCCACTATCACAGTGGCAAAGACATTTTGAACTTAACACATCGCCGCCATGTCACAGACCACAGTTACCCCTCTTAAGTTTGACCCGGAAGGAAAATCGGAGATTATGTTGCCTCGTTTAAATGGGCTGTTCTGTCGGTGCTAATGTTTTCAGGGTGACTTGTATAGCTTAAATGAAAGGTCAGACATTGTACTTTATTTGCAATTTGTTTTGGTCCACAATCTGCACATGGTATTGACACCAGCCTTCCACGGGTTGACCCCAAGTTCAAGGCTGTTTAGTGTGTTTCGGCTCGAAACTTCCGGTGACAATAGTTGACAGTGGATACAGTAAAATTGAGATGGTCGATCCAGGCCGATATTTTGCCGATTAAGTATCAAGTGGCAGGTTCGTCAGCATGCAACAGGAGAACAGCCTACGACCGATGTCACTGTAGATAGCAGAGAAGGGAAAATAATTATGGTCTGAGGCCAGTTACAGTCCCAGTCTGGCCCCGATTTCTCGAAACAAACTTAAGTTTTTACTCAAATTTCAAACTGAGTTTGACAATTTGAAACAGCTGAATTTTTAACTCAACTGCATTTTTTAAATAAAAAAGACGAAACAACTTCAATAATCTATCCACCAAACTCAAATTGTCGACTAAGTTTGAATTCAGTTCCTTCTGGGAAATGCATTTTCTCAAATTTGAGTAAAAACTCTAACTTAAGTCAAAACTCAGACTTAAGTTTGTTTCGAGAAATCGGGGCTTGAACACACTAGCAACATGAACTCCTCACATCTTCACGAGTAGCCTAGTGGTTAAGGCGTTTGCTCGTCACTCCAAAGACACGGTTCGATTCCCTACATGAGCACAATGAGTGAAGGCTATTTCTGGAGTCCCACGCCGTGATACTGCTGGAATATTGCTAAAAACTAAACTCAATTATAATCTTCACACACATGCAATCTACAAGCAACAACAATTCCCCTCAACGTCGATATCGTTGCTCATGATTTCCTTCACCTATCGACCGCCTCCGTGGTGTAGTGGTTAGAGCGTCCGCCCGGAGAGCTGAAGGTCGCGGGTTCGATCCCCGACCGCGTCATACCAAAAAGACGTTACAATATGATACTTGTTGGTCCCTGCCTGGCGCTCGGCATTAATGGATACAACAAGGACTGGTCGACTCGGAGTCAGTATAATGTGTCTGGGTGGGGTATTCATGCTTCACTGCGGCATGGTATCTCAGTGGGCTAGCACTATAAAACCAGCTTAAGTCTGGGCTAGTACAAGCAGCCGCACATACACATGCACACTCATGTATGTCGTCATAAATATTCTCAAGCACGACGTTAAACCCAATTCCACCACCACCACCTTCACCTGTCGAGATTATTTAAATATGGAGTGCACATAACAACAGTGACTCCATTCACTCTCAGACGACACAAGCGGCGTTAAACCATATGCACTCAATCACTACAACTCGACAACGTTACCTACCCTACAACGACGTCGTGTTCGGCGATCAGTCTGTCTCTCCCGTCAGCGTCCTGAGTGATGTCCACACACTCCAGCCTCACCCCCGGGCACAGCTGACTGACCCGTTCCAGTTCGTTCTTTAAGACGGACACTGGAAATATACAGAAAACTTTTACGGTCCTTTCCGTCAGTCTGACATGAGAACGTATCAAACTGTTGGAACTACGACGGACGAAGTGCAATGATTTCTGTCTAGTGTCTTTTTGTTAGTTGCATTCAGCAATATTCCAACTGTATGGCGGTAATCAGTGAGTTAGTTTAGTTTTACGCCGCACTCAGCAATATTCCAACTGTATGGCGGCAATCAGTGAGTGAGTGAGTTAGTTTAGTTTTACGCCGCACTCAGTAATACTCCAGCTATATGGCGGCGGACTGTAAATAACTGGATCTGGACCAGACAACCAGGGATCAACAGCATGAGCATCAATCTACGCAATTGGAATACGATGACATGTGTCAACCCAGTCAGCGAGCCTGACCACCCGATCCCGTTAGTCGCATTTTACGACAAGCATGGGCTGCTGGATCTTCACGGGTTTTGGTATGTCTATATTGAGCGATGTTTCATGTCAGTGTTTCTTCGAATTCGCTTTGGAGTGATTTTCATGTCAAACGTCCAACAGAAAAACGCATCTCACAAGGGGGACATTAAACCTGTTTTTTCGTTCTTTGTTTTTAGTTACGAATGATTGTTTACAAAATGATATTGGAGGCCACGATGACATTCTAGTTTTTTCCATTCTGAGAAACTACTGACATCCACAAAACAGTGGAAACAAACACTTACAAGACAAAGACTCGCGACAGTGACATTAACTATAACTCTCGACAGTGTCCTACCCGTGAAGATCCGGGTTAGAATTGGTCTTCAGTAACCGGATCTAACGGGATCGGGTGGTCAGGCTCGCTGACTGGGTTGACACATGTCATCGTATCCCAATTGCGTAGATCGATGCTCATGATGTTGATCCCTGAATTGTCAGGTCCAGACTCGATTATATACAGACCGCCGCCATATAGCTGGAATATTGCTGAGTGTGGGGTAAATCTAAACTCACTCACTCACTCACTCGATATCGTCCCCGAGTGCCAGGGATGGATTTAGAGAATAACCAACTCGGTAAGAGTGATTACGGGAAATATGCCCGAGTTGAAATAGTTTTCACAGTGCCGAGCCTTGGCGAGGCACTGAACATTATTTTAACGAGGGCATATTTCCCGTAATCACTCGTACCGAGTTGGTTATTCTATTTATTACCCATAATGTAATTTAAAAAGAAGAACCACGAAGACAGGACCGGAGACAGGACTTGTGACCACAAACAGGTGATTCGTATTCATGCGCGTATTAAACCTAACTTCTCCAGCGGTGATAACATACATGTAACTACGCTATGACAAAAAGTACCTCGTAAAATAGCTAAAAATGAAATACAACAAAAATATTTTTTATGGATTCAATTTATTAGCATTTGTTAATATGATAAAGATGATCTTTTAAATGCAATATCACTGAACTAGATAACAGCTAAAACGTTATTTGATCAAGTAAGTGAGCCGGAACATCGTTCATTCACGACTGACGTATGTCTAGTGATGGTGTAGTGTTGAAACACACTTTGCCAAAAACCTGTCAATTTTTGGGAAAGTCAACGGTTAAAAGTTGGGAAATCTAAAAGACAACCATCCCACGAATACATCTAGATAAAGGTTTCTGTCAAGACACCCAACAAGTTTGAAGATTAAACAACATTTTGTTCTGTGGAAGGCGTGTTACAGTCACGTCATTGGTCCTAGTGGAGTACAGCAGTTCCAAGAAGGATAAGTCTAGTCGGAATCCGAGTCAATGGGAAGAATATGCCTTTTTGGAGCAGATGATCGACTGACAGAGGAGTCATTCGAGATGTTGAAGTGGAATACACTACCATAAATTGGACCTGAGAGTAGTGTATGTACAGAATGAAGATTTACGGCATGGCAGACTCACGTGTCACACTTTCAGGTAATAGCTTTAGTCGGTATGTTCAGCTTCTGTTTCCTCGAATTCAGTTTTAACAACAAACAGGTTGTAGGAATTCAAGGGCTGTAAATTCTTATCACTCTTCCTGTTAGGTCCCGTCAACTTTAAAGTTCTTAGTTCGCATAGTGGCCGTAGTTCATTTGCGACAAACACTAGGTGCTAGAAATAATGGAGTGACGTTTAACATTCAACAGGTTCGAACTTCGCTTTTGGACCATTATTGACATGTGCAGCACGGTGTCACGGTGTGATGCTGTTCTCAAAGAGACGCCGGTATGAAATTGCAACTGCTTCTCCGGCGTGATGCTGTCCTTACAGAGTTGCCTGTATGAAGTGACGTCCTTCTCCGGCATCACGCTGTTCTCAGAGTGACGCCTGCAGGAAGTGACGTCCTTTTCCGGCATGACGCTGTTCTCAGAGTGACGCCTGGATGTACTCTCCTACCCATTGTTCTATGCGGCTAGCAGGGCTCCAGATAATGTTTCAATATCAGGAGTAAGTACCCCTTATTTTTTCAATATAGGAGTACTGGGAAAATTGAGTACATTTAGAGTACTGAATGGAATTTAATGGAGTATCAGTAATCTTGTGTTTCGTTGCATATATGCACCACAACATTGCTACGCTTGTGTAAACAGGTCAATAAACAATTAAACAAAACTTTTTCAGATAAATACGTCTGTAAATGATTCTAAGACCATACACCATTGCTGTGGTGCGTATCTGCTACGTTTTCTAAATTATTTCCTACCGTATCGTGCATATTTTATATCCGTACATACGCCAATACGGCCCTTATCTGGAACCCTGGGCTAGCATAGTAACTCTGCCACAGGCCAGAAAGATGCGTCAGATCTTGCACCGTCCATTCAATATAATGTAGCTATTTCTTAACTCTTATATTTTTGACGAGTCTACACATCTAATTAATCATCTTTGATAGAATGGTTTAGTTCCACTGACAAATATCCTAAAACGTGTAACACCATTTCGATTTGCGTAGCGATCCTTTGTTGACATACGTTGTACGGCGCCACGTGCTGTCATCGAAGCCGACGGAGAGCAAACGATGCAGCCAGTTTGATATATAAATATGTATTGTCATAAATCTTACTGTCGCAGTTGTGGAAGATTATATATGTAACAATGGAAAACATTGTGAAGAGCTCGCCGAAAAGCTCGCGTAAGGCCAGTCTCTTCTTTTTATGAATATGCGCGTTTGTTTACAAACAAGAGAAAAGTCCGGTCACGTGATATGCAAATTAGCCTGTGACAGTGATGTTATGCTAAGTCATCAATGCGCCTTAGTTTGGCCTGTATGAAGTGACGTCCATCTCCGGGATCACGCTGTTCTCAGAGTGACGTCTGTATGAAGTGACGTCCTTCTCGGCGTGATGCTGTTCTCAGAGTGACGCCTGCATGAAGTGACGTCCTTCTCCGGCGTGACGCTGTTCTCAGAGTGACGCTTGTATGAAGTGGCGTCCTTCTCCGGCGTGACACTGTTCTCATAATGACGCCTGTATGAAGTGGCGTCCTTCTCCAGCATCACGCTGTTCTCGGAGTGACGTCTGTATGAAGTGACGTCCTTCTCCGGCGTGATGCTGCTCTCAGAGAGTTGCCTGTATGAAGTGACGTCCTTCTCCGGCATCACGCTGTTCTTACAGAGTGACGATGATGTGGCTTCCGGCGTGATGCTGTTGCCTGCCTGTATGAAGTGGCGTCCTTCTCCGGCGTGATGCTGTTCTCAGAGTGACGCCTGTATGAAGTGGCGTCCTTCTCCGGCGTGATGCTGTTCTTACAGAGTGACGCCTGTATGAAGTGACGTCCTTCTCCGGCGTGATGCTGTTCTCAGAGTGACGCCTGTATGAAGTGGCGTCCTTCTCCGGCGTGATGCTGCTACAGAGTGACGCCTGTATGAAGTGACGTCCTTCTCCGGCGTGATGCTGTCCTTACAGAGTTGCCTGTATGAAGTGACGTCCTTCTCCGGCATCATGCTGTTCTTCAGAGTGACGTCCTGTATGAAGTGGCGTCCTTCTCCGGCGTGATGCTGTTCCTCAGAGTTGACGCCTGTATGAAGTGACGTCCTTCTCCGGCGTGATGCTGTTCTCAGAGTGACGCCTGTATGAAGTGACGTCCTTCTCCGGCGTGATGCTGTTCTCAGAGTGACGCCTGTATGAATGTGGCGTCCTTCTCCGGCGTGATGCTGTTCTCAGAGTGACGCCTGTATGATGTGGCGTCCTTCTCCGGCGTGATGCTGTTCTCAGAGTGACGCCTGTATGAAGTGACGTCCTTCTCCGGCGTGATGCTGTTCTCAGAGTGACGCCTGTATGAAGTGGCGTCCTTCTCCGGCGTGATGCTGTTCTCAGAGTGACGCCTGTATGATGTGGCGTCCTTCTCCGGCGTGATGCTGTTCTCAGAGTGACGCCTGTATGATGTGGCGTCCTTCTCCGGCGTGATGCTGTCCCTACAGAGTCTCCTGTATGAAGTCGCGTCCTTCTCCAGCATCACGCTGTTCTCGGAGTGACGTCTGTATGAAGTCACGTCCTTCTCCGGCGTGATGCTGTCCTTACGGAGTCGCCTGTATGAAGTCACGTCCTTATCCAGCATCACGCTGTTCTCGGAGTGACGTCTGTATGAAGTCACGTCCTTCTCCAGCATCACGCTGTTCTCGGAGTGACGTCTGTATGAAGTCACATCTTCTCCGGCGTGATGCTGTCCTTACAGTAATCACTATCCCCTTTAATCAAATACTTAGTATGAGACTATGTTCTGGTGCCTTGGAAACACTGATCTGGCTTAAACCTTTTCTTTCGCAAAACAAAAACCCCCAAACTGTTACAACATTTAAATCTTTGATGTGTCGCACTTCCTTAACGCCTCGACAAACCATAACTCAAGATTGACCTGTCGATCTCAGCTAAATCCAATGCACGTCTAAGCGACATATTGACTCTTAGGAGATTAGGTGGGCTTTGAACTGAAGGGAAACATTCACTCTAGGCAGTAAAACAATCCACTATTTCCGGTGGGTCGTTTGCGCACCATTGAGAAAGGGGGTGCACACTTCATTTTCACGAGCGTTTCAGTAGTCATTTATTACAATTTCAGGACAAAAAAAAGGGGGGTGGGGTGCGCACCCCTGCACACACACACACCACCCCCTTGGATCCGCCTATGCATTTCATTTCACCAAATGCGTTTGCTCAGCAGGCACGGACACCGGATGACCAGTCACGCACCGATCAGCTGATTGAACAGTCATTCAGTGCAACGACACTTCGACGCGCCATGTTTGTTTTTGGTTCATATGGTTCGCTGTAAGTTTTGAATCGCTGAAAACACTTTGTGAAAACACTTATTCTGTCCCAGAACAAAAATCCAAGACAAAAGCCAAACCCCAAACCCCCAAAGGCATAAATGCATCCATTGTAAGGAATAGGAAGAAAATACTGAGAATTTGAGGGATGCAATTTGTGAAAAGCATATGCCTGTGAGGGAAACTCTGAGTACATGATTAACAGCGGGAATGTGTCCACATCGAATGTTTCAAATGAAATTCCCTGGCATTATAGACACAATAACATCGGTAAATCGTGTTTTTCTCAAAACGAATTTGCCCTGTTGCTCGTTCTGTGAGTCTGTTTGAGGAATTCCAAGGGTTTAGCTAGACAAGATCATATATATTTTTGATAATACCTTGTTATTGTTAATGTCTTCAACTGACTTCTCACCTGCAGTGACGACAACGTCCTTCTCCGCGGCCAAGTCCTCGTACAACGGCCCCGACACCCTGCCTGCACCCAAGACCAACACTCGTTTCTGTACGGCTGACATTCTCAGCACTTCTCCGTTAGGAAGTAGAAATCTGTGGTGTTGAAAACAAACTGCACATTTGTAAAAGAAATCTGCCTTCGATAATAAGAACGAGTGTATTTGTAAAATACATGTACCTTAAAGTAAAATGACGTTGACGCCAGTGACGGATAAAGCTTCAACGCTAAAAGACCGTCTCCTTGGAAACGTCAAACTCGATCAGTAAAGCTGGGACCGATGCTGTTATTTGCAACACATGTCATTGCCAGGCTGTGAGAGAAATTGACACTGGTTTCACTCACCTGGCGAAACGTATTTAATATTTTTATTTTTATTAAATTGACGTCTATCTTATTGCCACCTAAAATATTTAAATGTTGCGTATGAAATATAGTTCTGACGTTTCATCAACGGTGCACCATAATAATGAGTAATTTTGAGGATTGTCATCGCCGAAAACAAATATGGGATCCTGCAGCAATGGCGGCAAGCGACAACGTAGTTTGACAATTGCACTTGAAGTCGGTAAAATACGAGTGAGTATCTTTTCACGCATGGCGACTATAACAGGATCGGGTGATCATGTTCGCTGACTTGGTTGACACATGTCATCGGTTCCCAATTGCTTAGATCGATGCTCATACTTTTGATCACTGGATCGTCTGGTCCAAATTGATTATTTATAGACCGCCGCAATATGGCTGGAATATTGCTGAGTGCGGCGTTTAACAACAAACCAACCAACTTCGCTATATAGATAGGTGATATTATTTCAGATGGAATAGTTTCACGATGATCTAGTTTCAAAAATAAAATCTGATAAACATAAGTAGGGCCTATATGACTGGCTCTCTAACACACTATTACCGCGAATACATGTAAATACATAACATAAGCTTCTCCGTACTGCGAGATTACATAGGAACAGTGTTTTATCCCTACATATCCACTAGCTGTTTCAGAAAGACGTAATACGGAAGATATCTGACCGAAAACAATTCATCATAAATCCTGACACGCAAGATATGATTTACGATAAAGGTCAAGGTCGGTGTGTTCAAAGGGAGATAACGATTTCAATTTGATATGTGCATCTTTACAACAGGCGCCTGCCCAGACCGGTTAGCTTAGACATTAAGTTGGAACGAGTTAGACTGTTAATACATTCAACACGGTAGGGACACAGCCGTATGACCCTATTGGGTCTTTAGCAGGATAATCCCCAGTTTACTATGCTTCGTAATGACAACGAGTTTTCACGGTAATAGGATCTACGTTCTCTCTACCTGTCATTCAAGAGGGTTTATAATCTGGCGCAGTCCACAGCCGTATCAACGATAATGCAATGTCACTGACCTTCTACAATAAGATTAAGAACATAATCTGATGGAACGCCGTGATTTATCTGAAAATCTTCTTGAGTTAGCGTTCTGTATATTTTTCGCTTAATACTCTCACGTAAAGGCCAGTACAAAAGAGTTGAAATATCATATATTTTATGATCTTAGAGGCAGACTATATTTGATTTAATAACTCTCATTTTTGTGTAAAAACCTTCATATGCTTGAAAAAATGCTGACGGTTCCATTCAATACGGAGTGTTTTGGGAACAAATCATATTGCTGACACTGAGACATATATGACCAGGAGACAGCGGCATTGTTGTATTTGTCATTTCAACACATTAAGAAACCATGTCATGTGCGAGTCGTATGCTTGTGACGAATGAGAAATTTTAACTTTAACTTTTTCGCTTTTAATCCCACACGTTGAAGTTGAAACGTGATTATAAAAATATCACAGCAACAGTTTATGAAAACACAAAACCACAGCCACGACAAATGAAGAAGACACATTTTCTTAATTCTATTTTCTGAATCATGATTATCAATCACTATTAAATAAAAACTACAACATGTGATCGCAAAAATGTCAGAGTATCCTGACCCACCGGTGGTAGCCCTCATAAACAAATACAAACGCTAGTCACGTGTTCAACTAAAAATACGAAACCGTACAATTGTATATGATATAAGTCAAAATTGGGAATTGCATCGTTGGCGTTTGATGAAACACGGAGTCATGTGCAACAAATGGAGCTTGCGACACCCCTCCACAAAGGCCAGGGTCGAATGTCGTCACGCTCTATAGTGACGTCATCTGTTTTGTTCTATGAGGTTTCCATATTTGTAAAAAGTGGGCCAGTGACCTCCGTCGTTTGTTGTTAGCAGTAAATGCTTCTAAACCGATACTGTTGTTTGTTTCTATTTTATTACACATGCCATCCATTTTAGCTAATAATAACGGTAACGCTATTTTTCAGGGCCCCGTTCCTGAAAGCGATCGTAGCGCTAAGGTGATCGTAACTCCCATCCTTTAACATAGACTTACGACAGTCGTAGCGCTACGATCGCTTTGAGGAACGGGACCCAGGGCATTATCACTAGCAGAAGCAATGAATGAAATACCTCGGGCTTCTGCAAATGATAATGCCAGGGGAAATAGCGCTACCCTTATAATAATGAATTTGTGACTGTTGCGACACCTCTCCACACCCTCACATTGAAGGTCGCCCCAATTTCATGTATATGCCGGCCGTTGTTCTCGCTCTGGTCTACGCAGTTAGAAAGCGGAGATGAATCGTGTAAGTACTGACGAATGAATTATCTTACCCTCAAACACCGCAGACACAAGTTTCGTACCCGCGTTTAGATGGTGAATCACCTTCGATTTGCTCCACATACAGACTGACCGTCAGTGAGAGGCAACACACGAGGCTCTTTACGACTGACCTTTGTCTCAGGTCAAACAATACGTACATTCAACCTATACTCTTTCTCACTCTGATCTATGTTCGTTTGTCTGTTGTAACACGCCACGCTTGGCAATATTCCAGCTATATGGCGGCGGTCTGTAAATGATCAATTTGTACCAGACGATCCAGTGATCAACAGCATGAGCATTGATCTACGCAATTGGGAAACGATGACATGTGTCAACCAAGTCAGCTAGCCTGACCACCCGATCACGTTAGCCGCATCTTACGACAAGCATGGTTACTGAAGATCAATTCTAACCCGGATGTTCACGGTTCCTGCGAAGCGCTATAACACGCTTCGGGAGTATGGCCGTGGTGTGATATGATATTTTGGTTTGTTAAACGCCAGCTATACGACGGTTGTCTGGGAATAATCTCGACTCGACCAAACAAACTATGACTGGCATCATGAGCATTGAACCGCACAGGGGCGATGGGGTAGCCTAGTGATTAAAGCGTGGGCTCGTCACGCCGAAGACCCGGGTTCGAATCCCCACATGGGTACAATGTGTGAAGCCCATTTCTGATGTCCCCCGCCGTGATGTTGCTGGAATATTGCTAAAAGCGGCGTAAAACCAAACTCAGTCAGTCAGTTGGACTGCACAGTTTGGAGATGTTGACATTTAATGAAACAAGTCATCAAGCCTGCTGAGCGCCCGGTCCTGCCTCCTCATGTGTTCCTCATGGCAGCAAGCATAGGTTCCTGGCTATCTTACCTAGTGGTGTTCCGATGGTCGAAAAAAATCGAAAATCGATCGAAAGAAGGATTAAAAATAATTATCGATTGTAAATAAAATATTTTTGATTAATCGCAATTTTGTTGTTTTTGTATAACACCCTTGAATTAAGTATACTAACCATTTAATTCGATGAATATTCACGAACAAACATGCGCTCAAAGCTATGCGCATGTAAAATTTTAACCACTTTTATTGTTTAATTACAATTCCAGTGTCTTACTTGCATGCGTGCAATTCATTGCGTGACAGTATTAGTTATGAAAAAAGCACTAATTAGAAAAAACCTGGGGGAAAAACCCTTAAAATTGGTGATTACATTAAACATGTATATCTTTCGATTATAATTGATAATCGTTCACCACAAGATAATCGACAGTGGATGTGGTTTCCGATTCCCAACACTCATCTTACCAAACGCAGACAGTCATTAATGTGATGTCCTTGAATGAAAAATCCATCAACAAAATAACCCATTTTTCTTGTAGTGAAAGAAAGTTGATTTCACCAACAATGTCCTTCAGAGACGGCAAGTACATGTAATGTATGTGGCCAGGCCGGTGTATTAACCCTTTCACTACATCAAAGTCACGGAGACACTGGATGTGGGTGTGTAATTCACTCGCGCTGGAACCCTACCTTCACTTGTGGACATGTTGATTAACGGTACTTTAACATGTAACGAAGCAAAAATAGCATTAGTAGAGCTTGGTGTCCATATAATAGCCGTTTAATCAATTTAGCTGTCTCCCGTTGCACGTTTTGCACTTTGTAGGAGTTCACTGTACTTTTACAACCACAGCCCTGTTTATGAAAGAAACTTGGAAAACTTGAGTGCACCGAGTTCCAGCCAATTTGTCTTTTAATACTTTCTAACAATGTTAGTAACTTTTGTACCTATAATACTTCGGAAATATCTACTTTCTTCCGTCCGTCCATGTGTCCGTGTCGTTCTACACGTGGAGTATTGCTGAGAGTGACAACAATCAGAAAAAAACGAACACTAAAAAAACAATACAATTTTTCTGAAAAATTAACCAAACAATTTGGGCACCCCAAACAAAACTATTTACCTTTCCGTATATGTTTTGTGTTTCCGTCCGACCGTGAGTGTCTATGTGTGCTTATACACATGTTCGTGCGCAATGTACGTACGTGCGAGCATGCGTGTGTTTGGACCTTCAAACACGAAAAGCAACTTGATCGGGTTTTTTAGATGCGCAGGACATTGTCCGGCTGTCGGACAAGTACGCACTAAAGCCCCTTCCAACCTCTCGCCACACCCGAGTTGCTTGCCACATATTGCAAGACAGCAACAGAGTTTTGATCAAATAAGCCCCAAACGGGCCCATTACGTTATGAGATGATAACGCTTCGATGACAGAAATCATGTATATAATAAAGGAAGTATATGGCCGCTATATGGCGGCGGTCTGTAAATAGTCGGATCTGGACCAGACAATCCAGGGATCAACAGCATGAACATCGATCTACGCAGTTGGGAACCGATAACATGTGTCAACCCAGTCAGCGAGCCTGACCACCCTATCCCGTTAGTCGGGTGACAAGACAAGGACGCGATACTGGAACCAGATGTGAGTGAGTAAATGAGTGCGTGCGTGCGTGCGTGCGTGCGTGCGTGCGTGCGTGCGTGCGTGCGTTCGTTCGTGCGTGAGCTAGTTAGTTTAGTTATACGTCGCTTTTCGCAATGTTCCAGCAATATCACGGCGGGGACACCAGATATTGGCTTCTCACATTGTACCTATATGCATGTGGAGAATCGAACCCGAGCGAACGCTTTAACGACTAGACTACCCCACCGCTCCCGAACGTATATGATCGACGCTATAACGTGGTGTATCGAACTATGACGTTTGTAAGGAATACAACAATTCAGAGCAAAATATTTAGCTAGCTGAGGTCTGAATGAATCATGTGTAATGAGATGGTGGAGATTAGATAGCTGTCTTCCTAACTGTGTGCAATAAACACCTGATTGGGCACAAAATGCGCTCTGAAGCTGATGGCATTTAGAACAACTCAAAACGCAAAATCAATTAGACATAGGACACCATTTTGTATTCCACCTGACTATTTTTTTATTGATCTTTTAAATGTCGGTTAAATAGCGAATAATATTTCCTCTGGCTCCAGAAAACCTTAATATTTCCCAGACAGGAGATCACAGGAACCAGAAGCGCAGATAATTTATTTTTCAAATTTAATTAGAAACGTGAGTTTTTAGATTCATAAACTGAGTAAACAACTTGCAGTTAAAACACGGCGAAGAAGAGCGAGTGAGTGAGTGAGTTGGGTTAGACGCCGCTTTTAGCAATATTCCAAGAATATTGTACCAATATTATGTGGGGAATCGAACCCGGGTCTTCAGCGTGACGAGCGAACGCTTAAACCACTGGGCGTTGTTAGGAAGAGAATAGGAGAGAAAGATTATCGCTCAATACTACATTTGTACATACAAAAATATATTGACCAACACCGGAATTACAGGGCAATCTTTAACATTTGGGTCCAGCCAATCATACCCTGGCATACTGGAATGCACATGTAAAGCACTCACTTCACACAATACCACAAAAAGCTATGGTCCGCATGTTCACGTGCTGCGACGGCGCCAGGAACATTAGGGTTTCCATGTTGTAATTGCAGTTTGTGAACTACAGAACTGATTTTAAAGTGAGTGAGTTAGTGAGTATGGTTTTACGCCGCTTTTAGCAATATTCCAGCAATATCACGGACACCAGAAATGGACTTCACACATTGTGCCCATGTGGGGGAATCGAACCCGGGTCTTCGGCGTGACGAGCGAACGCTTTAACCACTAGGCTACCCCACCGCCCCCACTGATTTTGAAGACAATAGAACTGACAATGAACGTTTCTTGACATGGCAAGACGTAGACTTTTAGAATACAACACGATGACAAGTGGTTGGCATGCATGACATATCCCGTCGCAACATCGGTGCTACAGTCCGTTTAATTTCATTTGAGACCGATGAATTGCTCACTGACACAAAATCTAATAATTGCAACAAAACCAAATCACATCATTATTATTATTAATATTATAGGATATTTATATAGCGCACATATCCAGACAACTAGTGCATGCTCAAGGCGCTGGTATTTTTTCCCTCGATCACTGGATGTCAATCTCAACGGCACATCGTATTATCAATCTCAACTCCCTGGGGAGTATGGTGTATTCCCATACTGCCTACGGGTTAAAACAACATGATACGGTCCAGTGATCGGGAAGTGAATACACTGATCTGACCTGTTCTACCCCTGCTAAATGAACTTGACTAGTTAGCTGGTTAATGAACAGACCTATTCTATGGTGTCTTCCCACTCTGCCTTCAAAACTTACAAGTGTTGGTTGGTAGGACATCTTTATTCATTCTGAGAATTCTCAATCTTTACATAGTGACATGGATTTATCATGAAAAACTGATAAGTTTTACAGTCTTTCAGTGGTTTTACTGAACATTTGCCATTATGTGATGGATGCAGTTTGTTCCCCTTCTAATTTATTAGGAGCTTAATTAACTGAGAAGATGAGATCTTCTTAACAATTTAGTCCTTACCATGATTTTAGACATAATCTGACAAAGACAGACAAAGCCAACATAGTTAAAACAAGCCTACCCAACTTGATCAAATAGGATTAAGTTAATCCTGCTTTGGAGGTTACAATATAAGCTTCCCAAAACAAAATTAAACAATATCATTGTACTTGTCTTGTAGTCTTTATTGGATGAGAAGACTCAAAACATACTATACACAGAAGTAGATGCACAGATATACTAATATAATCCCCCTAATTATCCCTTACTCCAAACGAAGCACCCCTTCTTCATTGATACTCGGGCTGTTCTATTATTCTACAGGGCAAAAAATCTTTTCCCACGGTGCCTACAAGATTTTTGTTGGCAGTTTGGGATGTAGGCAGTTTGGAACTGTAGGCAGTATGGGACCTAACCGGGAGTATACAACTCTTGCAGCCACTAGGCACACCGAGTTTTTACAGCTTTCTCATCCTTACGAGGTACCCATTCACAGCTGGGTGGACTGGGACACATGGTCACAGTACTTTGTCCAAGTTTTACTGCACGTTGCTGTACCCGCAACTAGGTGTTTGCACGTATTCATGTGGCCACCATCTGGTCATGTACCAACGGATTCGTGGGTTCTTTTAAG